GAGAGAGAGAGAGAGAGAGAGAGAGAGAGAGAGAGAGAGAGAGATAGAGAGAGAGATGCTTCAGGTTTATTTTATAATTCACAGCACCTGCAGCTACACATTAACTACTGCTTCACCCATTTGTCCATCTAACACTTCACAGTAAAGCCTTCCTGATTGCACTGACCACTGGCCATGAGAAATCCTAAAATCCTATGATTTCCAGGCATGATTTCAAGCCTGCCCTTGAAGTCTGGTTCAAGTGCAACCGGGAACCTTTGCTGCATGACATTCACTGTCTGTCTCCCCTCATTTCCTGTCAAGGTTCTTCTGTTTACTGTGAAATAAAAGGCAAACAACGTCCACAAAATCAAAACAAAACTTTAAAAAAAAAAACTAGATAACACGTTCCAAACTCCTTGGTACACCGTGGAAACAATATTTACACTCAAGAAGCCACATGCAGGTGTCATGCAGGTGGCATTATTGTCACTGTCACCATGCTAACCAGCCTCCATGACAAGCAATAAGCAACCTTCTTAATAACCACTGTTACAGTAATAAGGGCGCACCAGCAAGACAGTAAACAGTCGTTGTGGCTTCCTAATGAATAGAGATGTTGTCTATTGAAGCAAGCACCACTTTAGCTGCGCAGGCGTGCAAACTGAAATCAGATTAGCCTGCCTCAATACAATAACAATGGTCCTATGGTCTTGGAAGAATCTTCATGTTGCCTGTGGACTGTCGTGTGCAGGTGTTGGGCTCTCGTTCTAAAACTGGAAACATATGCGCCTTTTCTAGGCTGCAACCATCTCTGTGCATTGAACTACATTCCCTCACAGACAAGTCTCTCAGCTGCTGCAGGAGGGTGCATATCTACCTTACGATGGACAGCCCAATCCGAAGCCTCCATGTCCTCTGGAATCACGCTGGGTTGAGAAACGCTCGGTGTGGGATCGAGAGAGGAGCGCGGAGGGGGAAAAAAAAAAAAATAGTCCCCGACCCCGAAAAAACGTCCTTGTTTGTCTCCCAGCAGCGCTGCCGCTGTCATAAATCCTCCACCATGTCGATACAAAGCAGAGCCATGAGTTCACACCCGCAGGAAGTGACATCATGACGGACAGCTGGAGGAGAGAAGGCGCACACCCCCTGACACACCTATAGTTTTAGCGAATGGAAAGAGCGCAGCTGATTCCTTTGAGACGGACGCCCCCTAACCATGGTGACAGCAAGAAAAAAACAAAACCTCTTCCTCTCAACGTGCTCTGCACACCTTCCTGCCGTGCAATGCCCAAAGAAAAGATAAAAAGGCACTGATTGCGAAAATAGTAGTGTAGGACCGGTAATCAATTACAGTGTGAGAGTCAAAATACATTGTATTTAATACAATGATGCTGAACTGAAGGAATAGAGGCTGGCAGCGTTTGCATACCCGGGACACCGTCCTCATGTCGACTCTCCTCGGGTCACCCAAGTGTTCCCTCTCTCTCTTGCTCCCAATTCAGTGCATGACGTTCTGACAACATATTCCCAAAGCATACACTTAAACAAATTAGTAATACATACAATTAATACATGCAAAGAGGGATGCTCTTATTTATTCAACCTTTTTTTAAGCGAGGACAATGCCATTGTGATATTGGGTTTTTTGGCAAAGAGCCTGAAGGTTTCACGAAAGCAGTACACAACAATACAAACAACAGACTTAAAAAAACAAAACATAAATGCATCAAAAAGTAAAAAAAACATATAAAGATGGAAAAACACAAAAGAGACTACAGACCAAAGTACTTTCAGTGCTCAAATGATCCGTTCCTGTTTTAAAAATCTTGCATGCTTATAAGATGATCTAGTTTAAAAGGTCTCTGTATGGTGAGGGGATATAGGTGATATACATTAATTAACTCATTACTAGTATGACTTTCAAAGAAATACACTCAGCATTCGAGTAAGAAAGAAGGACAATTCTGTAAAAATTGCAGTACAAAAACAAAGAAAGTCTGAATTGATTTTGCTTAATGACAGTTAGCGCAGGAGTAACTTGACTACACATGTACAGGAGGATACACATATGGACAAACAGCAATGCAAAGATACTCTTGAGGTCAGGGTACAATACTAAAGTAAAGTAGCAGTGGCCTACCACACTATAAATACTTCATTACAAGTAAACATCTTTAGAATTTTACCTTAGCAAAAGTACAGTAGACATGTTACTCAGCAAAACGTGCTTAAGATCTGAAGAATGCCTCTCTCAGTGTTGCATCACTATAGTATATTAGGTCTGACTGGGAATTTGGGGATAATATTTGTTGTAGTTTGGTCATATTTTGTCTAGAAATTGATCTCTCTCTCATCCTTGCTGATGTACAAACATCAATATACATTTTATTTATTAAAGATCTCCTCCAAACATGTTTTAAGACATATCAAATGCTTTACTTTGAATAATAATTTGACAGTTCTCTCTAACAAAATCAGGTACATTTACTGCTTCCTATCATTGAGAAATACAGCATATGACTATGTGGCTGGACATGAAGTGCAATGGAGGCTTCTACATCACACTGCTGTCAGTTGCATTTTGGACCAAGATTGGCTTCCTAACTGGTGGTGATGTCGCAAAGTCACGCTTGTACGCATGTACACTTAGATTTAAAGTGAGTACAGAGGAACTTCAGCTGATGAATGTGAAAAAGCCTCCGATCAAACTCTGTACATGAAGCATACATATCTAAGTGAAGTTAAAAGCAAAATGACAGAACTGAAGGGACTCTGACAAGATTTAAGTTGACCGCACGATTCCCTCACATCTGAGCAACAGGACGTTTCCAGATGCCTTGGCAGGCATGGTATAGTTTCTGGGATGTTGACCAGTGCATGGTCCCACTAATTTAGCACAAGGAAACCCATGCACTCGTCAGGAGAATCACATGGCAGCTGGAGAAAACATTGCATCCCGCACTGACAGCAGGCCAACTTGTGAGGGTCTCCAGTCAAACTGTTGCAATAAACCAACCCATTAATGAAGCGGCTCTGTTTTTCTCCAGTCATGCCAGATGCTGAGTGTGCAACCTTGTTTGCAGATTGCATCTCTCTGCTCTCTCGTTTCTTCATCCAGCTCTCTCCGTCCCAGCTCCCTCATCACATTCTGTCCACGGCTCTGGCAAAGCAATGTTGCTCTGCTGCTCGGCCTAAGGCCTGGAAGCAGATACTGGATACTAGAGCTTCCCAAAAAAAGTGGAGTGAAAAGTATATTTCCTTCTGAATTGTTGTGAGTTAGCAGCAAGAACTACTCAAACACAAGTAAAGCACGTCGGATTTTGTTTTTACTTCCTTCCCAAACACACACATATTGCATGAAGACGACTCTTCAGATGTTCTGCATAGAGAAAGGTCAATCCAATGATCTCGTCAGATTGGTGAGGTGAGTAGAAACTCTGGAGGATCCAACTGGAAATTCAAGGCCCATTGCAGCCAGCATCAGCATGAAGGTTCACCTTTGTCTTTTGCAATTGTGATACTGTAAATCACAGTAACGTTTGACTACAGGTCACTGTCCACTAAGACCAAAACCATCAAAATGCAGCTTTTTCCCTTAGCCATCAGGACTCCTCCCTCCTCCCTCCTCACATACCAAAAACATGCATGACCAAGATTGTCTGATGTTGTCTGTTTATGTATTCCCGCTGCAGAGAGTAACATTCTGTACCAAAGACAAACTCCACCGGCCAAAGCCGTGTGGCTGATAAACAATCTAATCTAATCTTCCAACACGATAATTCAGTTTACTGAGCCTCTCTATGGTCTGTAGTAATCTTTAACAATGTGACAAGAACATGAAGAAAGATCAGAACAAAGATATACAGTAGAGCAGTGGAAGTATTCAGATCATTTCTATCAATAAAAATACTAGTATTATTAAAGCAGCTACACTATATTATGTAGAAAAGATACCCCCTGTGAGTGTTAATTGTCATGTTATTGGTTGTTAAAACTGATGGTCATTTTAACTACTTTATGTACTAAACATGGACGTTCATTCTTGACTTTGGAAATAGTAGTTTAAAAAAGAATCAACAAGTCAAATACTTTATAGCTTTCAACCCTATCCCATGACTTTCATCAGCAGATGGAGTTTACTAACGTGCTGATTTCAAGACTTATACTGTGGGGTAAAAAATCTATAACAATGGATCATATTTTATGGGCTGAATGTTTTGTATCTTAAATATGAATCTGCAGAATAATATAGTACCTATCTAATAAGTACCTCAAAACCGTACTTGACCACAGTATTTGAGTGAATCTATTTATATTCAACCCCTGCAGTAGTTGTAACTGCTACCAGAGCATCAGGGAGCGACACAGAACAGCTCGACACTAAATATAAAATCTGTCTTCTTGTAGAAAGGGATGACTCTCAAACACACACCCACACAGATGTCAGCTGCAGTACACTTGGAGTTCCTCCACGGCAGCTGGTGATTTCTCCATGCGAGGAGGACATGGAGAAACACTAGACCCAGAAGCCACGACTCGTTGCAACATGACTCAAGAGAGCAGGCAGAAACACGGTTGGCAGCAGCGGGCTGCGTGGTCAAGACATTCTGTATGGACAACAGCTGGTTTCCCAATTAAGGGGAGACTCAGAGTGCTTTCCACATCCAGATGACTTCATGACAGATGCCCCATTCGCTTACAACATGTCTGTCCCTCAACTGAACCTGGCCGAAATAAAAGAGACTATGAAGTAACAAAAGCTTGATGAAGTGATTTATGGTGATACAATGGCACCTGTCCATATAATTACAGTTTAGGGGGAGACTCACTGCTCCACTGTCCACCTTCATGAGATGGATTTTTCTAATTGTCGAATGATTATGCCAGTGTTTATGTGTTATCCTCTGGTACAAGTGTGAATGCACATTCCTAGTGTATTTCATTGAACCCAGGAGTGAAGCATAAACAGGTTAAATCAAAAGTTGGTGGGGGGGTTGAACACATCATGTACCTTATTTGACATTGGTTACATGATGACACACTGAAGTACAGTAAGTGGGTCAATGTTGAGGCCAGATCTCTGCTGCCACCTGCTGCCTAGAAACTGCAAATGGGTGGAGCGTATACAGTCTTGATCTAGTTTTTTAGACACGCTACAACTTTTTCCTCAAATCATTAAAGTTGCGTTTTTGCAGCTAAGTCCAGTTTATTCTATTTTACATACAACAGAAACCCACAGATGGCACACACATGGCTTTTTAACACCCTCTGTCCGCTGCCTCTTCTCCAGAGAAACCTCTGGAGAAGCGATTTAGGAGGGATCCCTCCCACAGGATGATCACTGTCACATGTAGGTAGAGCTACAATGAGTCAATAAGTCAATATATCCATTTGGTGATGACAGAAAATGAACCAGCAACTATTCTGATAATTGATTAATTCATAATAATAATTTACTGTATTTCTGAGAAGAAATGCCAAAAATCAATCGATTACAAGTTCAGAATTTTCTATTTTCTTCATGAATTCTAAATATTTCTGGATTTTGGACGTTTAATCAAGACATTTGACGACATCACCTTGGTTTTCAGGTAATTGCGATGGCCATTGTTTACTGTTCTCTGGTGTTTTATTGAAATGACTAATCGAGAAAACAATCTGGAAAATATATTTGTTGGTTTCAGCTCCAGGAGTAGGCAGAAATTACACAGTAAAATTACATTATGGAGAAAGAGGATTACAATGTTGGGTAAATTAGGTACAAACATAATTGTATTTGAAGAATGTTGAATGAGCATCCACTAGGAGGCGCTTTTGCCACATCTAAAGGTGAGTGGGGCCTGAATACTGCTGTTATTGACGTTATATCGGTGAGTATATCAAATTGATTTGCTTCTATGTGCAGAAAATCTAAATATGAAAATGGAAAGAATATCGCAACAGAGACACACAATTGAATTTCCTTGCCCTACATTTCAGCCTGAATAATACTTTTTTTAATCACTGTTGCACAGATTTAATGTGGTTGATTCTATTTAGAAACCGGATTAGCTTTTCTTCATTTCAGCAAATGCACTCTGCTCAGTGGTTTATTTGAGGGTCCTGCCCACACAGAGCCTTCAATCCTATCCACTTACATTCGATCAATAACACTTTTCCATTTATACAGCCATGACATCATATGAAGGCCTTGAAAAGCAATGCTGTGAGTGTTGCTCTTGTCAAATTCCTGGCAACTTTTGGACAAAACAATAGTATATTATTGAATTCTGACTCAAATGTTTCAGATGGAGCCTCGAGATCTTTTCATTAGTTCCTTTTCTCATGGGGGAATAATATCCCATGGTGGACGTTAAAGCTTTTTGCAACGTTTTCGGTGAAGCGAGAGGAGATGAAGGATGGAGCAGGGGCTTTAGAGATGCAACCCCAGAGGCAGGATGCACATAGAGCCATTGTCTCACCGGGCTTTAGTATTCAGCTCACTTTGCTCTATCACCAGGGCCAAGGCTCAAATCAATTCAATATGGTGGCTGGCAGGGGACAGCTACAGTGGGTGCAGCCCACATACAAATACATCCACTGACGTACTTCACATGATCCTTCTCACTGTGCTGCAGACATTTGGTGAAGGTGTAATTAGCTGAGCACGTTTGGTATGACCGACATGTGTGAAGCCGTACGAGTATGTACAGTGGAATTGTAACGCGTCCGTTACATTCCGTCTGTGCATATTTATGGTGAAATGCACGTTAATAAGAAGTTCCCTGCAACACAGAGTTGATCACCGGTTATCCGACTGTAGAGGGAAGATAAAGGGGGTGAGCGAGGGGGTCTCACTGTGAATGACAGCCGCCAAGTCTGACCTTGATATGAAATACAGGGCTGCAGTCTCAGACAGTGAGGCACGTCTGATGCCCAAGTTGGCCTGATACCGGCTGGCACTCACCTCGTCATCCATCTGTGTGTGTGTGTGCCGTTGACCAAAGAGGTACTGTAACCATCATCTGTTGCCATCTGAATCATGCTGCAGCGCTGGAGGTGAGATTGTGCCACAGCTCTTCTTTCCATCTGCTCTGCTCTGGGCTGCTGGCTGATCCCAGGTAAGGATGAAGGCTGTCAAGTCAGGTTTTTTTTCTTTTTGGTTCCAAACATTTCTGCACCATTCAACAGACGATGATACAAATGTTGGGTTATGTTTTATACCAGCAAACTGGTCAGGACCAACTGAAGACTTACTTGAATTTGGTACTTGAGAAGAGAGCATGCAATACTTAAACATATACTGTCTGTACATTTCTTCACAGGGAAGGCAATGCTTTGGAAACCATTGTGCACCAATGCTGTCGTTCAAATGCAAATAGTCCCAAAGTCTAAGACATTTAAATTGACACTTAAAGGACAGAACAAATTAAAGAACTGAAAAAAAGCCAAAGACAAACTGATTCTTCTTCATATTCTTTATTAATATTCGGAGCAGAATAAACAAATCAAACACACGTCCTCCAGTGAACAGTATTTACCTGCTGGTCCCCTCTGCTGCTGTGATTGGCCGTGCTCATTCCAGGTAAGAAGCAGACTGGTGGCTCAGGGCCAGACAGCTGAGCTGGTTTGGTTTGTTGTTTGTTGGGAGGTTTTTCTTTTTTCTGATGCTTTGAACTAGATGCCCCCAGTTGTCTGTGTGGTGAAGTATTGCTGCCCTTCAGGGAAGGCAGTAGGTTGTATAGTTATCTCCTGATTGGGCAAAATCACTACCCTGAAACCACACAACCTACTACCTCACCCTGTTCGAACATCAGAAAGGTCGGACAGGTTGGCGGAACTATTACCAGACATCATTAAGGTGGAGTGACATATAAACACGGGACGCCCACACCCTAACAGACTTCATATCTAAACATACATTGACAGAAAATGACTTAATCAAGTATTCATTTTTAAAAACACCAACATTACAAGCAGTCAGATCTCAACAGTTAGAGTAAAAACAGCTTTGACAAAAGTCCTTTGATGATCATAAATGACAATTTAAACAAAGACGAAGGAAAGAGGATGACATCTAGATAAGAGAAGTAAAAGTTAACACAACATACGGTGTCTGATGAAGAAAGTATTTTGTTGTTTGTTTGGTACACAGACAACCAGCAAAACATTACACTTCTGATGACATTTTTTTTTTATTGACCTTAAGTGCAACCTTGACAGAAAACAACATTAAGCAACTACAACCCTAACTGATCAACCACTATCAAATGCTGTGAATGAGTTATGTTCTTAGCAGTCAGTGGGTAAACACATACATCCCAGTGTTGATCCAGATCCAAAAGCTCCAACAATGGCGTCCGGCGACATTACAGCCACTTCAGGAAAGACAGTAAGTTGTATAGTTATCTGACAGGAAGGGTGTGACCCTAAAACTATACAACCTACTACCTCACCCCAAAGGACAGTCTTTAAAAACAAAGTCATTTCAGGTCCCCGTTCATGCAGGTAATCCGCTTCGACACACCTTGATGAATGCAAGAGAGCGGTTATGATTCACTGAAACGCAAACACACATGCCACTCTCCTCTGGGACAGCTCACCAGTGTGACGGGAATCTGTGTGTTCAGAACACAACATGACGACCGGGTCACCTGGGGGGAATGCAAATGATCCAATCAGGTGGATATGTCCAAAACAAATTGTATCGCTGAGATATTTCCATATTCAAATGTGCCCAGCAAATAACTTGAGAGATCCTGTGACATCCAAAGTAAGGATTTTATGGAAAATTGTTTAGCGTCAAATCTGTTAAAATATTCCATTAAATAAGCTGACCATGTTTTAGTCTGCATTCAATTGGCTTATGATCAGAACCGAAAGATGGTGGCACATTTCTGTTACCAATCCACAGCATCGCTTGTCAAAAGAGGTCAAGTGATAACTAAAGAAAGAAAATGTAATTTAAGCAAAAAAAAGGTATCAATGTTGTATAATGATCCGCGTAGATTATTCCACCGTGTGTTGTCCCTTTTTTTCTCAGTAGAGTCTGTGCGCTTCGGAGAGGAGAGTGTTAACAGCAGTCACCAGTATTGACAGTGGGCGAGCTCAAGCTAGCACATCCTGGCCCACATGTGTGGAGCAGAGGGCCGCAGCTGCTACCGCTGTTAATGTTTCTCACCTGCACTGTAACACGCCGCTCCCTCCATCACGGTTTCGGCAGCATGTCAGGTAACCCGTCATCTCAGAGAGGGAAAATCTGTTTCTCCTCTAACAAAGGGAAATGGAGAAAATACTTCAACACAATGACTTTTAGATATGCCTTCTGTGAGCTCGACAGCAAACACACCAGTGAAACAAACACTCTTTACAAGACAGTTTTAGATTATTGGGTAAAAACATACTTTTTGGGGTTTGCTTGCAATTTGAGTTTGTTAAGTGTCTTCCCAATATGCATGTGTGGAATTCTATATCGCTTATACTTCTGTGTGAGCAAACCACACCATCCTGCATGTTTAACTGTCACACGATCTGCCGAAAACAAGTCATGTCAGGGTAATCTTTGTCAGCACATAACGCTACAGTAATATTACTCTGTATGTGAAGGCACAAATGTACAGCACAGCATAAATACAGATGGTATGTCTTGAGCTGAGAGGCCCCATTGTGTCTGCTCAGTGGTGATTCTGAGGCTCTTTGCATTATTCAACACTGCCGTACTTACACCATAGCACTGGATGAGTGGACTGTAAGTATGCGCAACCACACACACGCCCTTAAAGGCTAACAGGCAGACGCGAGGGGCACACAGACACTTTGCAGACGGAAGGAAAGATACAGTATGGCAACCTACAATATGCAAACACATACATGTACACACATACAGTAATGGCAAAGAAGTGAGCAATAAATTGAGCATACATATGTTCAATAAAACAACAAAGAAACTAATTGTCAAATTGGAAAATACATTTTTCTTCATATTCCAACCAAGCAACGTTCAGATTTTACTCTTGATTTTAAGTGTTTAAACACCAACTACATATAGAAAACTGTGGCGATATGCTCAAAGCTCCTATCACCGTCTATTCTCATTGCAAAACGCTCAGCGGTGTGGGGTCCACACTTCATAAGGTAAGGTCAAGGCACACTGTCCTCTCAAGTCTGCTGACTGGACATACTTCAGTCTAATATAGTTGATGGCTCTGGGGCCCTAACCAACAGAGTGCATGTTGAGGAAAGCTATTGCTTTCATGTGAAGCCAGTTGCCATCATTTAGTGACAGGGAGATATTCACACTCACACTCACACCCACACACACACACACACACACACACACACACCCACACACAGACCCTTGTGCAAGCTTGTTTTAGGCTGTCTACACGGTTATGCAACACAATCTAAAAACGGCTCCTTTTAAGATGATCTTGTCCATCTGAAAATTCAGCTTCTTGAAAGTGTGCAAACTCGGTAAGCACAGCGTCTGTAACTGAGACACCGCTTCGGCCTCGCACCTCCATTAGCTGCTAAGAAGGGCCGGCGTGCAAAGTCGAGCTTTCTACACCTCATCGTCGCCTAATGCCACACCAGCACGTACCAGTGCTCTGGGACATGCACACATAAACACATACATACACGCACACGAGAATGTGGTTTCGAAGACACACGCGTGCACACTCGTTCACACTCCAACATGGAAAAATAGCCTTTCAACTGAGGGACGAGGCAAAAACATGATATTCATCTACCTCGTTACATTTTCACACAGCAACAGGCGCACACTACTTGAAAGGCCACTTTGATTCAATCACACTTCAGTCTAAGTGTTACAGTGGCCGTTGAGCGATACTGAAGCTGCTCTGCAGTAATAGTAAGATAGAGAGATGGAAGCTTGTAAACTGATCTTTAAGGCTCTGGTGGTTTTGCGGTTAGTCAGTGCAGCGAATAATTTGTAAAAAGAAGCTGGACATTCATATGCATCCCCAATCTTCCCTTTTTTATGTCAATTTGTACTCATCCACCATGCTACATTTAATATTACATTTGTTTAGCGTATGTGGCCACCTATTCTACGTTCTAGATTCTTGACCTGTGTTTTAATGGAGTTTAATCCATTTAACATTTTCTTAATTTCATTTTTGTAGAAAACACATGATATATTCCTGAAGGTACTCTAAGTTACAAGTAACAAAAAACAGGTTTTATGTTGGAACACACAATTCAAATGATATGTAGAGCAGACAGTCTGCTCACTGTAGCTGCCTCTTCATCGTTATTTAAGCACTTAACTTGGTGGGTTTCAAGAAACAGCACTCTTCAGACTCTTGCTCACATGTACCCTTGTCCTCAGCCTAGCCCTGCTGGATGCCTTTTGGCACCACAAGATTATACGAGTGCTTATGGTTGAGTTGCAAGTATGCGATGCACAGTACATGTGCTCATTAGTCCTTGTGTTTATACATGTGTGGCTTCCTTTCTGTCAGGGAAGTGGTTAGGAATACTTAAGACGCTTGTGTGAATGTACTTCTCTCTTGTCTGTGTAGATCTATGCATATGTGTGCCCTGAAAAAAGGTGAAGTGGTGTCTGGGCGCAGACAGGAGGAATCCAGCAGCCCCCTCTGGGTAGCACAGCAGGCATGACCCATCTATTTATACCAGGGCCAGGGGGGGTGGGGGGCAGCGGGAGGAGGGGGAGGACAGGAGCAGGGGGAAGAGGAGAGGTTGCATGGGCAGGTCCTGTTACACAGGCCAGGGGGGATGGTTGGGGCAAGCCACAGGGAGATTCTGCTCAAAGTCAGACAGGCTGACCTCGCCGTCACCTCTGCATGAGGCCGATACCGAGCTCGCAAACAGGGTGTGAGTGAGGAAAGATGAAGATGTTTGAGTGGACAGTATGTGCCTACGGGCGTGTGTGTGTGTGTGTGTAGAGCTACAAGTAAGTATTAGTGCATGCATAATGTATGCGTGGTGTCTGTGTGTGCAGATCAACATGTATGTACGTGTGATGGAGTGCGCATGTACTCACGCCTATGTGCATAATATGCGTGTCTGCCTATCAGGCGGTGAGACGAACCGGCCCCAGTGCCTTACCCTCACCCGCCCCCATCCACCCCTCCTTACCCCAGCACAGCCGTAAACATGCCAGGTGAGGAGGGCTGGATTAGGCAGAGTAGCTGATCCCAGCGCAGCACCCTCCCCCCCCACATCCTTACAGGTAAAAAACGACCCCAATCACTGTAATGACAGGGGGTCGCCCAGACCACTCAGTCCAACTTTGCCAGCTGTTTCTCATCGCTCACACGCAGTATACAGTCACATGTACGGTATGTAGAAAAACATGCACACGCTTGCACGCACGTGTCTGCAAACAATACGCAGATTGTGGTTTTGTTTTTACACGATGCAGAAATAGAAATACATCAAACATCGTCATGTAAAGACTCACAGGCTCAGTCTTTGTGACTCCACGCTAATAGAAGCTGGTGAAACACGCACTGCCACGCGGCTGCTGGTGACCCGTCAGGCCTCTATCTATTAGGAGAAGTCTTTAGTCCTGACACGTCTACATGCCCAGCTCTGCTCTGGCCTGCCTGCAGGGCCCCTTTCAGCTTGGGCAATGCCCCATCGAGCTGCATCTGTCGCCAGCTATATTTAGCGGGTGGGACGAATACCTTTCTCCCTGGATATGAACTTCAGCTGACAGACAGAGAGGCAAAGTGGGCAAACAGGGATCTGTGCAGTTTGTAACCTTGAAGAACTCGTTACCCCCGTGCTACAGCTGGCAGCAGTCAGACTCACTACAGTGGTTAGCAGTTATAACTAAAAGCTAAGGCTGTAAATACAGCGTAGTTAACCACAGTTAGCATTGAAAAGCTTGATTTGGCAGCAGCTATTACCACCAGTGCTTATAGTTCCAGGACTGCTGCCAACATGAAGGAGAATATACTCTGATAGTCCTACATTTCTGCATACAAGCATTTGGTGTGTGTACGGCAGTGCCAGCGAGGCAGCCAGTGTGTAATATGTGACCATGTTGCATGGCCATCTGCTCTATATAATCATAAACAAACGCAGACAGGCCAGCCTCACAGTATCATTTCCGAGAGGTGTAGGCCGAGTAAATGTATTCATGCTTTGGTCTCCGGGTAGATTGCTGTAGAGATATGCCCTAGAAACAGACTGCGGTTATGCAATAGCATTCATAATTCATTCCACAAACAATATGGAGGCCACTCTGTCCCATATGCAAACATATGCATTGTCCAGATTAAGGACTGGTGATCCAAAGGGGACAGAGTGCATTCTGAATGTTAGCAAAGCCATTGACTGTATGTCTGTCTCAATGAGAGTTTGTCTGCGACAGGCTTAAATAGGCCAGGTCCTACTGCTGGCGTGACCTCGAGTCTAAATCAGTTACATACCAACAAAGATACAAACTGATACAGTCTGGGACTGTATCAGTTTGTGTCATGTTTATGGCACTTCAAGCCATAAACATAGAGTAAGTTGAACTAAGTTGAGTGATAGTAAGCGGGGAAAAATGCTTCAAAGTTCAAATAGCAACTGTCTATTAAGATAATAAACAGTTTTCAACATTTAGAGGCTAATTCCATAAATGGTGAATGTAGTGGGTACTGTGCAACAGATGATTATCGGTTTGTTAAACTGAAACGTGCAATGTGGTTACATCAGTTTTATTGAGTAAATTAGTTAATTTTGGTAAACTTTTTGAGGTCGAATGTCACAAAATGACAAAAACTATTCCTGAAACGTCTGTCCTCTAATCTTTCATTGTCACTCGACATAGTTTAAGCCAAACCACTTGTTTGTGTGTGACTTTGACAGGTACGTTTTGCAATGATCAGCACTCACCCACTAAAAAGCTCGATATAGTATCTGTGGTCTTTGGGGCCAGAATGAGAGGAGGATTTTAATAACATCTGCCCATGTAATCAAATGCCTGGCACATGCAGAATTCCAGAGCCACAGGCAGCCAGCCACCGAGGTTGTAGGGTGGGGTTACTAAGTGCATTTGATACAGGCACAGTATGGGTTGAGACTACTCAGGCTCTACGGTACTAGAAGCGGGCAGGTTGTGTTACTATGGGGGGCCGGGCTGCTGAGGACTCTGGGTGTTGTGGAGGAGAAACGGAGGACTGATGGAGGGGTGGAAGGGGGTCATGCAGCTGTGGGCCCTGCCAGCACATTCGCCCCAATGGAAAAGAACCGTTTATGGCGTCCACCCAAGGTCAGCCCTTTGAGGAGAGGAGCTGGGAAGGGTCCAGAGCGGAGGCTGCTTGTTTGTGTGCAGTCAGTCGGCAACAATAAAAAAAAAAAACTCTCTCCATCAGGAAAAAGACATATTAAGTGTTCTATCATTATACATTGGAGCACCACTTTTCTCCTACCCCTACCACTCTTCTCTGTTTATTTCTAATTTGTTCCTCAACCCAGCGTCCAGTTGCGCCCACTTTCTCCCCCCCCCCCCACTTTACTCCATCCCTCTCATCCTGCCACCTGACTACATTGGCAGCGATACACAAAATGGCGGCGGGGAGCTGAGAGCTGGAAGGCAGAGAGTGGACGCCATTTTCTAACAGATCCAGGCCCCAGCACTAGACTTCCTACGCCTGGTGGACAATTAAGATTGCACCCTGAGTGATTTCTGTGTGTGTGTGCACTAAAGATTAGGTTTGCTTTTGTTTTTTCTTTTTTAATCTACTGCACTAACAAGCCAGTGGGACCACTTCAAATGGGATAAAGGCACAATATACAGCCACTATGATTTAATATAATGCAAGCTCATGTTATAATAAGTCTCAGGAAGAGAGAGAAAATAGATGTAGAAGCTCATGCCATGCGTACGTAACAAATTAAACTTGCGCAGCTTCTAATGCCAGCCTCTATCTCCTAAAATGAAATGCAAGACAGTACAACAGAATTACAATACATCATTCAATAATGACATATTCAATTTACAATAGATTATGGTACTTACAATGCTGCTGCGATCGCCAGTCTGTCTGTCCTTGATTTCACTTGTTGGCCAAATTGTTTGTGCCTCTGGCTGAAGTCAAAACCCATCTCACTGCCTGCATGAGGGAGAGCGAGAGAGAGAGCGAGAGAGAGAGAGAGAGAGAGGAAGACAGACGGAGTCGAAGGGAGAGACAGTTTATAGCAATAGAAAGAGAGAGGAGGAGAAAACAATGGAGAGGAGCAGAAATGGAGAGAGTGATCAGTTGGAGAGCCAGCAGCAGCAGCAACAGCAGCAGAGGGCTGTAGGGGCTCCTTTCTGTAGCCTGTTTACTAATAAGCTCGCCCCGCGGTCTTGCCTGGCCGAGGAAACTCATTAGTGCAACATATAACACACCGCACCCTCTCTGCTGGCCTGTGCTCACCCAACACCAACACACAAGCTCCACCGTGGCCTTGGCCTTGCCCAGTAGCACCCACTCGCTGCATACGTGCATACACTTTGGCATGCTGTATTACTGAAAGCCTGCAGTGTGATGTGCGTGGGCGAGGCGGCGCGTACGCGTGTACTTGTGAGCGTAATAAGCGATCTTCCACACACGCGGCACAGTATGTTCACGTTCACACACACGAGGGCATGTGCAGACCGCGTGGCGTTAATGTACGAGGCAGCTCTTGACATGTGCCCGTGTTATCCTGTGCTCGCGTAGGCGTGTGATGCTTGCGGAGGTGAAATGGGACAAAGGAAAACAGAGGTATTTTGTCATAATTTATGAAATCTCAGAGTGCAGAAAAATAAAGCCGGCGATAGAGATAAAGAGACGCGAGGGTCGTCCTCTGGCAGACCAAGGAGGACACGGCCAATTTAAAGGCCTCCACGCGGCTGCTGAAGGATGATAATTCTGTACAAGGACACTAATTGCAGCCCAGGACACGGCCTTGCCGGGGAAGGGTCCTTTATATATTGTTTCTAACGTTCGTAATTACAGTGCAGTGCCTTGGACCGCCGCCAGCACATGTTTATGGGCTCATGAGTAACCCAACTCCTCCAGCCCATGGAGGGAGATTCATGCCCAAGCTGTGCACTCACTGCACTCTGTGTGTGAGTAAGTGTGTGTGCGTGTGTGCTGTGTGTGTATATGTACGTTGATGACTCATGACGCCTGGGTGGGTAAGTGCAGGGGGGATAGTCTACAGTATATTAGAATACCACATGGATAGCTGCAAGTATTGCAAGAAAACACAATATTTACGGTATCATTTTTTAAAGCTGATATTTAAGACTGAAGTGGAGGTAATGACATATCAAAGCACATAGTATATTCACTATAATTTCTCAGGCCAGTGTGTTTGTTTCTAGCACTAAAAGTAGCGAGTGTAATTCATCTCAGCACCGATGAACAGTAAGAGAGTGATGAAGTGGAGGTGAGGCGAGGGAAGGGATTTACAGTATTTTGATAGTCTGAAAGTTGCAGGCGAGGCCTTTCAACACTCCCAACTCTGCCTCCGAGTGGAACACTTTTGCTGATGCTGCAGTTTTTCTCTGAGTAAATTACCTTGGCGACAGCGGAGGCCAAAAAGCTGAGGAAATATATGAGCGGTGGAAAAGAAAAGTTGAGTGGGCGCAGCTCAGCGTTATCTGGAATATCGCTTTGCCTGGCAGGTACATAAAACAAGGCTCTATCCCGACGATACGTGCAGAGACATTCGCACGTGATGCCTCAGACTTGAGTACAGCGAGCGGTCAGAAGCAAAGAAAACGTTGAATGATTCTAAATATTAATCTGGTTGGGTGAAATAAAACACTCTGGCTATCACACTTCTGACGAATCTCCTTGACGAAGTTATTTAAATGCTCAGCAATCAACAGCAAGACTCTGGTGGTACAGAAGGTGTGTGAGAACATTGTCCTTGGCTAAATACACTCAGGGGAAAAAGGGAAGAAAAAAAACAAAAAACCTTGACCTCAGCCAATGGGCCCATGAGGTAAAGGTGAAAGTTGCACAGGTCTCATTTCAGAACGTCTGGAGGAAAAGTGGGGGAGGTAAAGGGGAGGAAAATCTACATCATCTGTCACCCCCTCCCCCTCCCTGTAACTCTCCACCAGTCCAATATTATGCCATTATGACTGTGCTCACCGTCTCTGTGGAGTTGCTGTGGTTTTGTGGATAAATTACATGTGACACTCCCAGCTGACATCCTGATTAACACGGGGAGAATAAAATGGCCCCCAATCCTCAGTAGTCAATGGACTAATGGCTTCCATGTATGGCGCAGAGAAGCGAGGAAAAGCAGGTTTAGAGACTTTGGTGTGTGTGTGTGTGTGTGTGCATAAAGTGTGACGTGTGTGTGAGTGCATCAGCATACTTGTCTGTAATTACTTTGTTTATTGAGCCTTGAACTTTGGGCTTTTGTGCAATCATTTTGGCACTTGCATACACAACACCAACCCCCAAAATGTACATGTGTCTGTGTGTGTGTGTGTGTGTGTGTATCAGGGTCTCAGGCCTCTTTGTCCAGCCCCTCTCCTCTCTTTTCAGGCCTGGCCTACTTTCTACTGTACTGTAGTGCTTAATCTGTATGCGTGCGCCACACAGCCTGTAGTGGCCACTGTAGATCCACTCGTCTGGTCTCCCACGTCCACAGTGCAGGAGGGCAACAGGGAGCCTGGCCAGCCTTTCACCACAGAGACCTGATCTGACTACACTGCCGTTCATCTCGAGGAGGTTTCAACAGCCTTTTCCACTGACGGACCACTGCTAGATAAAAGCCTGAAGCAGATGTTACAATGATCGACACAACCACTGTAAAATTTAAGCAATTGTCTCACAGTTGTTTTTTTGTTTTTTTTTGCAGAATGCACTGTGACCTTTTGAAGAGCTAGGCTACCAAACTGTGAAATTTAAATGCAGCTCTAGTTCAACAAGCAGTGACCAGCTTGTGCTAACCTGCAGCATAGTGTTAGCTACTTTGCAGCACCGCTTATAGTGTCACTAAGAATACTGGACCCAAATCTAAGTCCTCATATCAATACCCTAATGTAGACATATTGTCTACCTGTTTTCCACACCCTTCATTTTATTAATGAATACACTATATAGTATATAAAGCAAAGTAATAAAGTACATATTTACTTGAACAATTGGAGAGTTCCACAATAAATGTATACATTTCTGGCCTAGCGGTTTATGTAGAATTAATTTATATATAATGTATATCAAATACAAATATCCTTTAAAAATATCATTTAGTTAACAATGAATACATACTGTATCATTGCTGATTAAATATTTAAAAAACAAAATGCCAATGAATTGGTGAATTTTTAGTACAGGCAGTACTGTATGTCAATCAAATCCCGAACCCTGACAGTCATCCAGAGAGCTCAGGCATACAGTGTAACTTTCACTATGCTGGGCTTCTCGGCTTCATTGTACTAAAGACTGCACACTGAAACCGTTTTAGAGGGAGAAATAAAAGTGGCTTCATTATAATGTCAGAAAAAATATATTTACAGTGAGTGCTCACACTCACTTGGCCCCCATTCATCACTCCAATCTGGATTTCATATTAGCCAGGAGGAAATTGGATGAGATTCACAACATCACAGCAAGCTCATAAATGAAACAAAAATCACATAATCTTAAATACCAATTTACCCACTTAACAAATGAAGCAGTGTATTGGTGGCTTGGTGCTGTGTTGTACTGGTGAGTGACTCATTTCCACTGTGTGTTGCACTTGTAAGAATACACTGAGCACTGGCACATGACCTTAACCACATACTCAACACTTCAAAAGTATCTGGCAGAAATACTGGAGTCATAATGTAGCCTTTACATGACCATTAAAACCTGCGACGGGAAACATCTCATTCAAAAAGTTATCTAGAGATCAAAACCATCTTTTCTGTTAATGCCACGAAATTAGATAACTGGAGTAAAGATGCCTTCACATACTTTGTCCTGTCCTAGTGTAAGGGCATAAACTAAATACTAAGAATTGTAGTTTTAAATAAATAAATACATTAAAAAAAAATCCCGATGACCCTTTAGAAGTTGAAAGAATAAAAATGAGACATCTATTTGTGTTTTCTATCAAAGAGGAAAAAAAACAGGCAATATTGCAATAACCTCAATATTATAAAAAATAATCTATGGCAATTTATAAAAATCACGAGTAAGTGATCTAGCAAGAAAGTGGAGGATACACACACACACACACACACACACACGCTGAACAAAATATGCTGATGCTGTGCATTTGGGAACAGTACAAATATTATGTTTCAGGCTTTCTGGTATTCCTCAATACAAACATATGCTTTTTCTCGGCAAGTATTCCCATTTCTGAACTTTATGACAGAACTTTTAAAATTCTTAAAGAAGTAATTCTTTAGAAGAAAAAATAGAGTATATTATTTTGCAACATTTGATATTTTTCTCTCTAAATATGACATAATATTCAACTGCAAAACTCTAATACGTCTAAATGAAATGCAAATAAATAAATTAAAAAAAAAATCACATAAAAGTTAAACCACAAATGAAAAATATTCAAAGTTTTTTTTAAAAGCTTGAATTTACACATCCAGTAATAATAATTACTTATAATTCCATCCAATGTTTAATTCATTTTGAGTGTTCTCGTTTTGGCATTTTTCTGTTCATAGCATTAAAAGGTTATGAAGTGCTGTCAGTTTGAATTTCTTGGATCTTTACAAAAAACATTTACTACTAAGCAGTAACTAATATATTCATGAATAAAATACTTTTAAAAATACAATTTATAAAAAAAAAATCCAGAATCCCATTCATTCAGGTTCAAGGCTACAGTCAAGTTCAAGTTTGCGGACGTGTTGTTCGAGCTGTTTTCTGTGGTTTCCTTTAGCGCTGCTCTTCCAGAATATTAATGACAGGTATTTAAAATATATATATAAAAAATTATGCAATCTTGACTGTTTTACAGGTTTACTAGTATTAACACATCAAACACAACATTTCATCAAGCCTAAGAACACACACTGAAAGGGCAACAACTGACAATAACTTAAAATATGCTCACAATTGTTAAAAAGTATGGATATCTGATATTCTGCACAAAGAAAATGATCAAATAAGCCACGAATGTATGTGTGATTGTGTACTTATATTTGCATGTCCGTGCGTGTGTGTGTGTCCCATTATTGACTTTGCTGTATTTGCTACATGTTGCTGCAGTAAAGCTGAAGTTGTGGGCCTCATTGTGGGCTGTACCAGACTGTTGGGATTGGTCAGGTATACTTTTACAGAGAGCGAAAATACTGCAAACCCTCACCACCATCTGCCTCTCAACATGCACCCTTCCCCTGGACTCCTGCCATCCATTCTCCAAAAAGGCCTGAGGGGTGGAGTAGTGTGATACTCTGCCAGCCAAAACCATGTGTCCACTGCTGGTTAAGCAGAGCTTATATCCATATGAATGAACAGAATCACCTATGTATGGAAAAGCTGACCCTGAATTGTAAATCACCTGAAAGCTTAGAGAAATATTGGGTTGGCTTTGCCCTTCAAAAAGTCCCATTTTCTATAAACCCTGATAAGCAGATGGACATCTGAGCAGACATTAGAAAACCAAAGCACTTTAAATCTGCTAATTTGTGGTATTGAGATATTCGACAAACAGTGATTACTATGTATTTAAATACTACAAATTAAATGTTATTAATAAACCCGGGGATTGTACATTTCCATAAGTCTCATTTAACGATACAACTTGAATTTTCCATTAATGTGATGAAGTTAACTAGCAAGTATTTGACAAAGAGCCAAAGGAGCCACAGTCGATTAAACGTTTTGTCCAAAGTAACTTATCTTAAGTCAAGTTTTACAATCGTTTGGTGGAATTGTTTTACGACCGCATACACAGTTTCTTCCTTCAAACGAAAAATGTTTTCATATGTTTAAATAAATATAATTACAAAGGCATTTTGATAGTCTTTGTGTACACTTGCCACAAAATGTTGCTGTGCAAAGCATAAATTCCTGTGTTCAAAGAAGCAAGATATAGATCCACAAAACAAAAAAAAAGAATCAGGAAATTATGCATTATTTTCCTATACAAATGTCTGTATTGGCAAATACATTGCAAATGGCAAAGCGATGGACTATTTTTTGATATATTCTTCATTCTGTCTTCTTAAACGAAACAGAACTCTGATAAATACAACCTGCAAAACTTCAAATTCAAAGAAATGCAGTGTTCTTGTTGAAATTTAGCCGACAGTCAAGCTTTTGAGAACATTAAACCTTTTGAAACGATCAGTACACCACGTACTTCTTTTCATACACTACAAACTAAGCCCGGACCACATCACTCATATGAAATCCCTCCAACACCGTGGCCTTCCGCTCATCCACTGATTACCACGAAGTAGGATTATCCAGGCGGCAATCAAAGTGCTATTAAGGAGCTATGTTTTTGCATGACTAAATTACAACTAGGATTCATGGAAGGCTGGGAAAAGTCACAGAAAAGCATTCTCAAAGTTAACGGCATAGCTCTGTCTCTCTATTGTATATGTTCCGAAACTACACAAATGAGTAGGGTTTTACATTCAGACGTATAAATGCGCACTGAATAAAAAGAAACTTTGTGTACAAATGTTTATTTGTACCGGGTGCCTGTTAAACATTGAAAGCCTAAGATGTAAAAACAGGAATAGAAGTTTCTATTGAAACCATGCGAGCATACAAATATTAAAACAGATATTACTCACCAATTTTGAAAGCAAAGGTGGTAAATGTCCGGTCGGGATGGGAGATACGGCAGCTCTTCCCGCTTTCATTCGCATCTCTGTCAAGAAGAGGAGAAAGCCATAAGCTCCCCGTTTGGTGGTCCTTGCAACACCCACTCATTTCCCCTCAGACTGTCCCCTTCACAGCCGTACCTCGGCCCCAAACTCCAGCTTTGAGCCCCAGCCTGAATCTCAGCTCCAGCCTCAATCTCTCTTCCAGCCACAGTCTGAGCCCCCAAGCTCAGGGCTGCACGGCTCGCCTGCCTCTGGCGGGGTCCGGGCCTGGTGAGGCCCGAAACAATAGGAGGCCATGAGGCTGTCTGCAAGGCTCCAGCTAAGCCGGTCCGCTAGTTAACAAGTCTTTGAATGAGGAATGTTAGCAAACAGACAAACAGCATGTCTGATGCATGCAAATAGCACAACCAGTTCAGTCACAGCCTTGGCTGGGCACATGAATAATTCAGCAGTCTATATGCTGCTCTCCCACATTACTCCCTCCGTCTACCTGAATGAAATGCCTTCACTAGAATAAGTGTGGCAAAGTATTCAAACTTCTGCTTTACCTGCAGCCTTGGTCGCAAAAATCTGTTTTAATGCTTCATACAAACATGCAATCACAGCGCAAAGTGGCCGTGTAGAGACACGACACGCGGAGCTACTTCTGATATTTCGATGCAACAATTAGAAATTTTGCGATTACTACATTTTTTTTCTCTTATTGCCTTTTAGTAATGTCTTTTGTTTGCAGCTGGCACCTGTCCCAGAAAGAGCTCCGGCTCAGCACACCACTCATTCTCCTGTGGAGAGAGCGAGTCGGTGTGAAAGAGAGAGAACAAGGGGGAGCGAGAGACAGACACAGGAACAGAGAGAGGACATGGGAAGGAAATAGTGGGAGAGACCGAGAGTAAAGACGAAGGAGGTACATCAAGCCAGTTGCTGAAGAAGGTCTTTAAAACACTGATGGGTTTCTCACTCGGATACTGGTTACAATATGCTCGTCATCCATAGTGGTCATCCAGACCACGAGCCCACCCCACGAAGGTTACCCGTCGGAAATGGCGCCCCGACACTCCAGATGGAACAAGGCCCATCACATGGCGAAAAACACCACCTTGACGAATTCCCATCCAGAAAGAGGGAAACTAAATAAATACTACTAGAAACCCATCGGCAGAGACAAAAATAGGAAGACGCGGAACATTTCTAGAGAACAAAACACAAAAGAACGGAAGAATCGGCGCCCAAATCCAAAGTGATGCAAAAAAACAATGCGCCAAAAGTGAGAAAAGGCAACTAAAAAGCAACTTGTTGCCAGGTTTTGCAGAGCTGCTGTGCAGCTAGTTGGAGGCAGAGGGTTAAAATCCAGCTAGTAGTGAGTGAAAAAAAAAAGCTCCGTCTATGGAAGGGCGGGCTGTGGGGAGGCCCTGACTGTAGAAATAGCAGCAGACTTTTTTTTTTTCCCCCCTCGCAGAGCTTAAGTCTCCCCCTCGCGTGTGGCTGGAGCAGAAAGAGGGGAGCGAGCGGAACAGAGAGAGAAAAAGAAGAGAGAGAGAGAGAGAGAGAGAGAGAGAGAGAGAGAGAGAGAGAGA